CACTCTCTCACCAGCAATGATCCAAACCAAGACAAAATCTCTGAATTGCCAGAAAAAGAATTCAGAAGGTCAATTATTAAGCTAATCAAGGAGGCACCAGAGAAAGGTGAAGACCAACACAAAGAAAAAAAAAAAAGATACAGGATATGAATGGAAAAATGTCCAGTAAAATCGATAGCATAAATAAACCACAATCACAACTTCTGGAAATGAAGGACAGTTAGAGAAATGCAAAATGTGCTGCAAAGTCTCAGCAACGGAATCAAACAAGTAGAGGAAAGAACTTTAGAGCTTGAAGACAAGGCTTTTGAATTAACCCAATCCAACAAAGATAAAGAAAAAAGAATTTAAAAAATGAACATAGCCTCTAAGAAGTCTGGGATTAAGTTAAACGACCAAATCCAAAAATAATTGGTGTTCCTGCCAAAAGTAATGGCAACAAAAACAAAACTGACAAATGGGACCTAATTAAATTAAAGAGATTTTGCACAGCAAAAGAAACTATCATCAGAGTGAAAAGGTAACCTACAGAATGGGAGAAAATTTTTGCAATTTATTCATCTGACAAAGGGCTAATATCCAGAATCTTCAAATAACTTAAACAAATTTACAAGTAAAACACAAACAACCCCATCAAAAAGTGGGTGAAGGATATGAATAGACACTTCCCTAAAGAAGACATTTATGAGGCCAACAAACATATGAAAGAAAGCTCATCATCACTGGTCATTAGAGAAATGCAAATCAAAACTACATTGAGATACCATCTCATGCCAGTTAGAATGGTGATCACTAAAAGGTCAGCAAACAACAGATGCTAGAGAGGATGTGGAGAAATAGGAACACTTTGATACTGTTGGTGGGAGTGCAAATCAGTTCAACCATTGTGGAAGACAGTGTGGTAATTCCTCAAGGATCTAGAACAAATTGGTAAAGAGCAAATCAAACTGTCACTGTTTGTTGTTGATATGATCATATACCTAGAAAATCCTAAAGATGCATCCAAAAAACTCCTATAACTGGTAAATGAATTCAGCAATGTTTCAGGATATGAAATTAATGTACACAATCAGTAACCCTTCTATACACCAACAACACCCAAGCTGAGAATCAAATCAAGAACTCAACCCCTTTTATAATAGCTGCGAAAAAATCCAAAATACTTAGTACTATAACTAACTAAGAAAGCAAAAGACCTTTATAAGGAAGACTACAAAACACTTCAAGGAGCACAAATCAGCAAGAAAAAATATCCCACCAAAAAGTGGACTAAGGATATAAAGAGGCACTTCTCAAAAGAAGATATACAAATGGCCAACAACCATATTAAAAAACATTCAACATCACCAATAATCAGAGAAATGCAAATCAAAACCACACTGTGATCCCAACTTACTCCTGCAGGAATGGTCATAATAAAAAAAAAAATAGATGTGGATGTGGATGTGTTGAAAAGGGAACACTTTTACACCAATGGTGGGAAAATAAATCAGTACAACCACTGTAAGAAACAGGATGGGGATTCCTTAAAGAACTAAAAGTAGAACTACCATTTGATCCAGCAGTCCCACTACTGGGTATCTACCCAAAGGGAAAGAAGTCATTATACGAAAAAGATACTTGCATATGCATGTTTATAGCAGCTCAGTTTGCAATTGCAAAGACATGGAACCAGCCCAAATGTCCATCAATCAACAAGTGGAAAAATAAACTGTGGTATATATATAAATACATATATCATATACGTGTGTGTATGTTTATACGATGGAACATTACTCAGATGTAAAAAGGAATGGAACGATGACATTCACAGCAACCTAAGTGGATTTGGAGACCATTACTCTAAGTGAACTAATTCAGGAATAAAAAACTAAACATCCTATGTGCTTACTCATAAGTGGGATCTAAGCTATGAGGATTCAAAGGCATAAGAATGATACAGTGGATTTTGGGGACTCCAGGGAAAGTGTGGGAGTGGGGTATGGGATAAAAGATTGCACACTGGGTATAGCATACACTGCTCAGGTGATGGGCACAACAAAATCTCAGAAATCACCATGAAAGAACTTATTCATGTATAAAAAAAGTAATAAATTTTTTAAAATGGCAGCTGGGATTTTTATAGGGATTGTGTTGAATCTATAGTTCAATAGGGAACATCTTGGCATCTTGATACTATTATGTTTTCCAGTTGATGAACATAAGATTTCTTTCCATTGATTTAGCTCTTTAATTTCTTTCAATGATGTTTTGTAGTTTTCAGTGTACAAGTCTTGCATTTTCTTTGTTAAATTAATTCCAAAATTGTATTATTTGATGAAATTGCAAATGAAATTTATTTCCTAAAAAAAATGAATCAATAAAATAGAGATTGAGGTGAGGACCTGTGTGCAAATGATTGGTTTGGGAAGGGACCTCAGGACTGAGGAGGCAGTAGAATTAGATGAGGAAGGAACAAAAGCCAACACAAGTTGCATTATCAAGGTCAGCATAACGAACAGTGGGAACTTGTTTCCCAGGAAAACCTGAGAAGCCCATAGAATGACCACCAGAATTAACCACTGGATAAAAGGACGGCAGAAGCATTTGAACATCTGCCTTCACCCTTCATTGTGAAAGGTTACCACCCAAAGTGTTCACTCTTCCACACGTCTGAGCCTTGGGCAAGTGTGCAGTAGAGTCAACTCCTGAACCAAGATGGCACCCAGGAGGAGCCTATGGGCAGAAAGTAAGAAGTGAGAAGAGGCAGAAAGCAGATATTGAGTGAATCAAGTGAGTAATGGACTGCCACAAATGGTCTGCCTTAGCTGAGGGTGAAACCAAGGTAAGCCGAAGAGAGGTATGTCAGCTCTCAGTGAGGTTCCCAGGTCTTGTCCACAGTTTACAAGACAGCAAATCAGGGCTTACAGATCTGAACCAGTTTATGGAAGGATGTGGATTTTAAAACAAATATTTAAGTCAGGGCACATAAAACATCAATCACTTAAATCAGATGACATGTTAATTAAAGCGCATTATGCTCAATGTTACTGAACAAACTCATTGTCATTTGAAATACAATGATGGGCCGGGTGTGGTGGCTCAAGCCTGTAATCCCAGCACTTTGGGAGGCCGAGGCGGGTGGATCATGAGGTCAGGAGCTCGAGACCATCTTGGTCAACATGGTGAGACCCGGTCTGTACTAAAAGTACAAAAAATTAGCTGGGCATGGTGGCGCGTGCCTGTAATCCTAGCTACTCGGGAGGCTGAGGCAGGAGAATTGCCTGAACCCAGGAGGTGGAGGTTGCGGTGAGCCGAGATCGCGCCATTGCACTCCAGCCTGGGTCACAAGAGGGAAACTCCGTCTAAAAAAAAAAAAAAAAAAAAAAAAAAAGAAATACAATGACATAATCCAAAGTGTAAGTGACCTGGGTAAAATTTCAGAAAAGCAAACAAATTCATATCTTTTTGCTGTGGCCTGGTGTCAGTTTTGGGAGAGTCTTCATGCCTTCAGAATTTGGGATTTGTGGTCCAGGATTTTATAAAACCCAGAACCCACATCTCTGTGCCCAGTTGGCCTTGAAGCTATGGAAGAAAGAGGTTAGAGTTGGATGGAGCCTTTCTGTGGACTCTGCCTTGGGGTTGGGGGTAGAGTGATGGAGATTATCTTAGTCCTTTTGGGCAGCTATAACAAAATACCTTAGACTGGGTAATATACAAATAAGAGAAACTTACTGCTTACAATACTGTAGGTTGGGAAGTCTAAGATCAAGCTACCAGCAGATTGGTGTCTTGCAAGGGCCTTCTCATAAATGGAGGCTTCTCTGTGTCCTCACATGATGGAAGGAAAAAACAGGATCCTTTAAGCCTCTTTTACATGAGTGTTAATCCCATTTATAAAAATGGTACCTTCATGATCTAATCACCTTCTAAAGGCCCCACCTCTTAATGCCGCCAAAACGAGGATTAGATTTTTAATGTGAATTTTGGAGGGACACAAACATTTAGAGCACAGCACGGACAAATTAATTTTGTCCTAATTTTTGGCCTCAGACCTACTAGCCCTTTAAATAGTCGCGTTGCAAGATTGTAATAGATGGGTTTATGCCCTGCGTCAATTGCTGCCCTCCTTTTACAACACTGCACATTATCAAGTCACCTTGTCTGGCCCATTCTTCCCAACTTCACCCCCACTACCACCCTGCTTCAGGTCCTCATGATCTCCTCTGCACCCCTGCAGCCTCCTGCTATCAGGCCCTCCCTCCTCACTCCATCCTACACTCAGATGCCAAGTTATTCTTCCTTATGCTTGCCTATGAATGGGTCACTCTCTCCCTCTGCAATTTCAAAACTTTTAGCGAGTCCTTATTACCTGCTAAATTCCCAATCTGAAATTCAAGAACCCCTATAATCTGGCTCCAACCTTTCTTTCTAAAACCCTAGCTCCTCCATCCTTTTGGAGTCTGGCTGGATGGGACTCCTCCCTCTGTCCCACCGCCCTCCTCTCCCTCCTGCATCAGCTCTGAAGAACCCTGTGCATTTGCTATCTATCACACACACCACTCCTCAATGCCAGTCATGTTGAAGACTCGCCTTTAATAAAAACCCTGGGTGGACCTGGGTTACAGACATCTAGTTTCCTCTTAGGTCCAGATTCACTCCTATAATATTGCTCAGTTTGAGAATTAATTAGATGGAGAAAACCCTGGGGTTATGGAGAAAAGTTTGAAGATTGTTGCAAGAAATCAGGAGAGAGACTTTGGGAAAAGGTAGGTTTAGCAAGAAAAGGCAGTAGGGGGGCTAATGAATAAGGGCTGCTGAAGTTAGGGACTAGAGCCAAAGAGCTGGAACATCCTGGCCTGGTCCCGCCAAGTTTTCAGGTATCCTCGATTGAGTCCAGCCTGACCCAAGACATTCCTGAATAACGTCCCCCTCCATGCCCCAACTGCCACCCATGATGCCCCTCCATGCCTCAAACTCACTTGGGATGATTATGTTACCCCACGAAGAATAAGACTAAGTAGTTTTAAATTATATATCTTTTTCTTTTTGCAAATTTTTTCAAAATTCTGTAGTTATACACAGTAACATTAATTTCAACCGCAGCAGTACAAAGCACACATCTGACTTACAGGAGCATTGATTGCCAAAGAATTCAAGAGTGTTTCACCCCCGATGATCCATGGGAGGACCTCGCAACACTACAGACAGGTAGGAGGGAGAACAATGACATTTTCACGTGAACTTAATTGAGCTCACAGGAAGACAAAAACAAAAAAACACATCTCCAGGATTTTGTATTTCACATTCACCAGGATGTATGGCAGATGGAGTTAAAACAACAATAACTTAAATATAATTAAATATTTAAGAAATATTGTGCTTTAAATTATTTAAAAAGAATCTCTTTGCAGAAGTGATAATAAAATAATGTCACACTGTACCTGGGGGAGCTTGGGAAAGATAAATAAGTTTCCTTCAGGCTCTGATTCTTAGTTCAGGTATGAAGGCTCCAGGCTTCAGATTTTGGGATATTTGGCCCAGATGCTTCATGGAATCTCTGATCCTTTCTCTTTGGGGTCAGCACAGGCCTCCCTGCCCCATTTGGTCTTGAAGCTATGCGGGAGAGAGGCCACAATCAGATGGAACACTTTGAGGATCCTACCCAGGACTGTGGCCCATTGGTCCCTAAACCTGATCAGGCTTTGGTCCTTAGGTGAAGAACCTGGACCCGAGAGAGGAGGGAAGGGTAGGAGGAGGGGAAGAGTGAGAAGAAGAAACTCCAGAACGAAGCTCTTTTCTTGCTGTCCAGGTGAAACCCTTCAGGCTCCTGGCTAAAGGTTTTGGGATACCTTTACTAACTCCCTAGAAGGGGATCCTAGACAGATTATGGACTCCTTCTCATGGGCTGAGTTTCTCTATGGGGTAGAGGGGCCCTTTGGATAGATGGCATATCCATCCGACTCATGTGGACAAGAATCCTGACCTTGCCATGTTGTCCATTAGAACTTATGAATGTGGGTACCAGGCACGGTCCACTCACATCACAGCTTCCTGGGGACACTGGATGTTGCTGATTCTTGTAGAACTCTCCAGCCTCAGGATAGGAATTTTCTTATTGATCACATTAAAGCAGCAGGTGATTGGAATGGAAACTGCATCTGAAAGAAATTTTGCAAAGAATGAGACATTTAGGACCCACTGTAAGTGTGCATTTGTAAGGAAAAGAGAAGGAAGGAGAAGACCAAGCAGTCACCATCCCAAGTTCAGTGTCTTAGTCCAGATCCCAGAGATAAAATGTTGCTGTGAGTCTGTTTCCTCTATTGAACTATGGGGCCCCTCATTGTTGACTGGGTATGGAAACATCTTGAGTAGCAAGCTAGTCCTTGTCTACTAACCCAAAACTTCTGATATTGCGAACATTAGTTCTAAGACATTGCTTCCCAGTTCTTCATCCCTATGGGCTTTAGAGCTAGCCTATGCCATATGCTGAGACTAATCTGGGCCCTTATCCTACTTACACAGCCACTGTTCTGAAATCTGCACAGAACCGTAAGTAAAATTTGAAGCTTCAAGCAATGTTTTCTTCCTCTCTACTTCTTGAAATATCCTTCACATCCACAATGAGAAACAGTTCTTCCTTCTGTGTCATTTCCCCAAACAATGCGAGGGTTGTTGCTGCAGTGGCTCCACTGCCTCTTCCGAAAACTGGGATCAGGAAAGATCAAGGGAACCAGCCTCAGTGACCTGAGCCTTTCGTTTTGGTTCTGTTTCTAATGAGCTGTGACATAATGGCCCTTCTTAATTCATCTCTTGGTCTCCCTTTAGGGAGGGAGAGGTCTTGCCTGGCTGAGCAAGTCCCTGGGGACTGAAGGTGGCTGCCATGAGCAGCAGATACAGAAGTGCTGCAGAAACCTTCATATTGGAAGGCAAGGGTGTGAGCTTCAGCATGAGAAGTGGTTTCTGGGTTGGTCTCAACCTCTCTGCTCCTCTGGTGGCTCTGCCTGCCTTTTATAGGGAACAGAGAGCCTGGGCAGGGTCACAATCAAGGAAGGATGAAAGTAAGACCCTGAGTATGGTGAGTAGACACCAGATCCTGGGGTGATTTCCATATAAGAGAAGGAATCTGTGAGTTTCTATCTTTTGCTTAGGCTCTGTGGAGCAGAAGCTGAAGGGTATGGGACTGTGCTCAGCAAAGTGACCTCATTGAACTATTAAGTGCTCTGATTTCCTTGAAATGGAAAATTGTCTATCAGAAAGGAAGAATGGAAGCTGAGGTCATAGTGGAAGAGCACCAAGGGCCTGTCTCTCTGTGGGTAACAGAAGCCAGGGATGGACTCTAAGGCTTTGCTGTTGCTCTCTATCACACTTGAGTCACTTGCAGTTCTAAGCCAGGCGAGCTCCTTTAGAACCCCAGCCACAGAACTTTGGCAGAATGATAGAACCCTGGAAACAAGTCTTAATGCCCTGAAGTCTTAGTGTTGTGGAGCATAAGAACTAGACAGCACAAGTTGGTCTTGTAGCGTGATAGTTTCCAAACATTTTATTTAGATGGTCAAGTTTCTTTCCAAGTGAAATTACATGGAGAAGCCCAATATGTCATAGAGATTCAGGTGGAATGGGTTAGTTTGCAGAAGGCCTTCTGACTCCTTTGGTTCACACACAGTGGGGCTGTGGGTGGGGTGTGGCGAGAAGGAACCAGGTTTGCAAACCACTGACCTCATTTACTTCTCCTACCGGCCTCATCTATCCATTATTACAGTATCATACAGTAGTTTTCCTGCTCTAAGAATTCACTGCATTCTTCCATTCATTCGTTTTCCTCTCTCCACAAATCTCTGGCTACCACTGATCTCTTTGCTATCTCTGTGAGCTTGTCTTTTCCCAAATATCAAATACGTAGTTGGAATCATATGGTAGGCAGCATTTTCAGACTGGCTTCTTTCACTAAGCAATATGCATTTAAGATTTCTCCATGACTTGTTGCGGTTTGATAGCTAATTTCTTCCTTTCTTCATTATTATTACTTGTATTGTGGTAAAAATGCACGTAACCATAAAATTTACCATCTTAACCATTTTTAAGTGTATCATTTAGTGGCATTAAGTACATTCACACTGTGTGCAACAATCTCAATAACTCTTTTCATCTTGTAAACAGAAATTCTATACCTGTTGATCTCCATTTTCCCCTCCCTCAAGCCCCTGGCAACCACCATTTCTACTTACTGTTTTTGATTTTTTTTCTTTGTAAGACAGTCTTGCTCTGTCACCAGGCTGGAGTGCAGTAGTATGATCTTGGCTCACTGCCACCTCTGCCTCCTGAGTTCAAGTGATTCTCCTGCCTTAGCCTCCTGAGTAGTTGGGACTACAGGCACGTGCCACTGTAATATTGGGGTTCAGGGTGCCCTCAGCTCCCCTGAGAGGACATTTCTCCAGGTTCTTGATCACCTGCCTCTCAAGAATGAGAGAGGGGACCATGGCGCAGTGTGCAGTAAATGCCAGACTCAAAAGTGTAGAAAGTGATTTAAAGAGAGAAACAGGAGAAGGAGAGAAAGAAACAGCTAACTCTCACACTGAGTGAGAGAATTCAGAAAGATGGAATCTGGGAGAGGAAGGCAGGAGAGAGAGATGGAGTTTCAGAGGGGAAGACAGGCTTCCATGAGAGAATGTGGAAGGGGACCCCAGAGGGGAAATCCAGGAGAGAGAATGATGGCGTACATGAAGGGAGTATTCGTGGAAGGGGACCCAAACATGGAGTCCAAAGGGGTGTGGAAGAAGGGGACTTTTAACCTGGGAGGAACCCCCACCTTCTCTCCAAGATGCCAGGCCAATGAAAGGAGTTCTTTGGGAAATTCTTGCCCTTAAAACTATGCCTCCTTGTGGACCCAGAGAGAGAGCACATTCCCTCATTCCCTTGCTCTGAACAGGAAAGCCTAACTTCTGTTGGAACAGAACTTTGATCCTCTTTAACTATGTCCTGCTGAAATGGGGTATGGAAGGGGCCCTGCAGTTGAGCTTTCCTCCAGAGGGGAGCCTTTCAGGGGTGCAGGTTGATCTAGAGGTCCACAGTAGAGCCCACGAGCCAAGGACATCCAGGGTTCCAGCAGTAGGATTATTAAACACTTTGTGTCAAATTGGTCCCAATTTTCCAATATACATTTTAATGGGGACTTGAGCTTGGGAATAGAAGCACCCATCTGAAATTGAACACAAGGGATGCCAGCAACCCTGGTTAAAGAAATTATAGCCGCTTCCACCTGTGGCATCCCCCAGGTAAAATGGGTACTGAAATAAAATGTCTTTCAGTCAGTACTCCAAAATTTCCTGTGCCCAAGATGCATGATCCATCTTAACAGAGGGCCTCCCGTGTACTTGATTCCAATTACAACCTACCAGCATCATGGGACCATGATCACTGCCTGCATGACCCCCAGTGACTACCATAGAGGAAAGGAAGGAAAGGAGCTATTGGGTTGGGTATTCACCTACCGAGTCCTACAAGGCCAGTGAGGCTCAGGAGATGTGTACCAATATTTCCCAGTAAAAGGCCAATAAGGCCAATTTACACAAACCAGATTATAAAACTGCCCCAGGAGGGTAAACTTCTAAGGAGGGGCCATTAGAGCACACAGTTCAAAGAAGGCAGGCCTGGCATGGCTGAGGCCGGAACAATACCCTCAGGATCCAGGCCTCCCCTCCCCTAACTCACCTTCCATCATAGGAAAACGCTCTTAAGGTTATGAGAATTGCCATTGACTATTTGGGCCCTGGAGCTGGTTTAACTATGATCTTCTAGATGGAAAAGTTCTGCCATAGAGAAGGCCAATCCTAAGCAAGAAAAATTATACACCAAATACAAAGTCCCATAGCATTTAGCTTCTGAATTTCCCCAAAAGGTTTTACCAATTCAAGACTAACTCCATCAGGGAATTTGAACCAGCAACCTGGCAGTTGCAGGCCCTACACCTTAACTAACTGCGCAATCAGGCCACTTGCATTAAGGGAAGGCAGAAAGCTTTCTTAAGCCGTATTTTGAATGACAATGCTGCACGCTAAGGCAGGGTAGCTTACCTAAAAGCCGGGTGGGGTTGACGGCCATCAGCTGCTTCCTTTCCTTCAACAGCACCGCTGGAGGAAAAAATCTGGTTGCCGCCTCACTTTAAAAGCTGTGTTCACAGCCACTGCTGGGCTGGCCTTGTGAATTCCCCCACCCTCCGCGGCTTTCTGTCACCATGTTGGCTGTGTCAGAACCACCGGCGCAGTTGGGCCACTCCCCAAGCCACTGTCCACACAGGGACCCTCGTGTCCTAGGGAGCCTTTTTACCCTGCTGCCTGGGACTGGAGAATGCCGGAGAGGCCTGTCAGAGCCACGCGCCAGGCTGCCGCGCTCCCCGCCCCCTGCAGGCTCGGGCTACACCTTGCCCCTCCCTGCTGTTTTTATTGGCTGACCTCACCTCTGCCAGCGCAGTGGGTTCCGCCCCCAGGGCTGGGCTGTTCCTGGCCGGAAAAGAGCGGAAAGGGTAGCGTGCTCACCCTTTCCACCCCACAGGCTCCCGCAGGTTTTGGTCACAGAGATAATGTTGGAAGGATAGAGGAGAGGGAAAGCAGAGAGAGAGCTTGGAGGTAAAAAAAATACTGCGCTTTTAATTCTGGCTGGGCCGCTCCGCTTAAGAGGGGCTAGGTCATGCCTCCAGGGCGCCGTGGCTCAGGTTCCTCACAGCTTTGCCCAGCTGCAGCCGCTTCAGGTGTTCTTAAAGAGACAGGACAGAACGGGGCCGGTTTTATTCACAATTTTGAAGTCTTCTTTTCTGGCTGTACCCCTCTTCTGGTGTACCCCTTTCCTGGCTGAACTCTTCTCCTGGCTGGCTCGCCAAATGTGATATTGGGGTTCAGGGGTTCAAGATGCCCTCGGCTCCCCTGAGAGGACGTTTCTCCAGGTTCTTAGCCTCCTGCCCTGTCAAGAATGAGAGAGGGGACCACGGATCAGTGCACAGTAAATGCCAGACTCAAAAGTGTCTGTAGAAAATGACTTATTTAAAGAGAGAGAAAAACCAGGAGAAGGAGAGAGAAAGAAACAGCCAACTCTCACACTGAGTGAGAGAATCCAGAAAGATGGAATCCAGGAGAGGAAAACAGCTTCCACACTGAGTGGAAGGGAATAGAGAGAGATGGAGTTTCAGAGGGGAAGACAGGCTTCCACCGGAGAGTGTGGAAGGGAACCCCAGAGGGGAAATCTAGGAGAGAGAATGATGGCGTACACAAAAGATAGTGTTCGCCACCTTTGTGTGGAAGGGGACCCAAACGTGGAGTCCAAAGGGGTGTGGAAGAAGGGGACTTTTAACCTGGGAGGAACCTCCGCCTTCTGCAAGACCTCAGACCAATGAAAGGAGTTCCTTAGAACTTCTGCGGGAGTTGATTGACTCTTAGTTTCTTCCCGTGCCGGGGAAATTCAAACATAACCGTTAAATTTCCCGAATGGAGATGGCACTGGGAAATTCTTACCCCTAAAACTACGTCCCTCACCACCGTGCCCAGCTAATTTTTAAAAGATATTTTTAGTAGAGACGGGGTGTTAACCATGTTGGCCAGAATAGTCTTAATCTCCTAATCTCATGATCCACCTACCTCAGCCTCCCAAAGTGCTGGGACCACAGGCTGAGCCACCTCACCCAGCCTATTTCTGATTTTGACTACTCTAACTACCTCATGTGAGTGAAATCATATAGTGTTTTTCTTTTGTGACTGGCTTATGTCATTTATCGTAATGATCTCAAGGTTCCTCTGTGTTGTAGCATATAATATGCTACATATACTTAAGGCTGAGTCATATTCCTTTGTATGTATATAGCACATTTTACATATCCATTCATCTGTCGAGGGCTCTCTATTCTGTTCCATTGACCCATTTGTCTATTCTTT